ACATGGGGTAATTTGTGACTATTACAACTTGCCCCGTATCAAACTGCCGCCGATTAAAATATTTTATTGTTAACTAAAAACATATAGGTACCTACTTACTTTTATAAAAATAATATTTAATAATATGTTTATTATGAAATTCTTATTTCTCCTTGAGTTTGAAAAATAATGCCTAAATGTTTTTAACGAGGTGTTTTAATGTTATTTTCACTAACTGTTCATATTGTTTTTTTTTATAGAAAAATAATAATGAGAACGTATAAACGCAAAACGGAAAGGGGAAAACGCCCTTAGAAATTTTTGAACGGGCATCTGTTGAGGTGTTAATTAACAATAGATCTCTTCGTTCAGTGGCTGCTGAGTTTCAAATAAAACGGATGACGCTACAAAGATTTTGCAAACGAAAAAGGAACATTGAAGGTAAGCTTATTTTATTTAGTTGAATGTAAACCTTGTCTAAAGCCATATTTTTTTCAGATAAAAATGCACCTGTTCAAGTAGGATACAAACGAAATAGGCAGGTTCTTCCAGATTGCATGAAAAACGATTTAGCTGAATACCTTATCCAACAATCTAAGTTGTATTTTGGGCTATCGACGAAAGAAGTACGGCGATTAGCATATGAGTTCTCAGTTAAAAACAAAATAGAGGTACGTCAAAATTGGATTTAAAACAAAATGGCTTCTTCGGATTGGCTCACTGCATTTCTGAAACGTCATACAGCTTTGTCTCTGAGGACTCCTAAGGCAACAAGTCTTAGCAGAGCCACAAGTTTTAACAAAAACAATGTTAATGCTTTTTTCTCGCTACTTGAAGAAGTTTTGGATTGTTATAAATTTGAATCCCAAGACATTTATAACGTTGATGAGATGGGCATAACTACCGTCCAGAAACCCGATTGAATAATAGCTAGAAAGGGTGTGAAACAAGTTGGTTATGTCATATCTGCGGAGAGAGGTACATTATTAACTTTTTGTTTCGCCATCAGCGCTAGCGGAAATTCAGTTCCCCCATATTTATTTTCCCTCGAAAGAATTACAGAGAACATTTTGTGAACAATGGCCCACCAGGTTGTATTGGAGCTGCAAATCTATCGGGGTGAATGACCGAAAATGAATTTTATATATTTCTGAAGCATTTTGCCAAGCATACACGTTCATCAAAAGAGAAACCAGTCTTACTGATTCTCGATAATCACGAGTCGCATCTGTCGTTAAACGGTATAAGTTTTTGCAAAGAAAATGGTGTGGTCGTGATTACTTTGCCCCCTCACTGCTCGCACAAAATGCAGCCGTTAGATCGGTCTGTGTATGGCCCGCTGAAAAAATACATCAACAGCACCATTGATTCTTGGATGAGAAATCATGCAGGAAAAACAATGACTATATATGATATCCCAAATATTGCAAGGGAAGCGTTACCTCTAGCTGCAACTCCGACCAATATTCAAGCGGGTTTCAGGGTTAGTGGAATTTTTCCTTTTAATAAACATATATTTGGTGAAGATGAGTTTTTGCCAGCAGTTGTTACAGATAGGCCAAATCCAGAAAATATGACAGAGCCAGTTATAACCAATTTAAAAACCATCCCAGACCAAGATGGAATACCTGAAGCTGAAGCTCAAGAGATTGTCCTAAATGATAAAGAAAATGAACCCAAACAAGCTGATGGAGCTGAAGCTGATAGAACTCAAAGAACATTACCTCCCTCTGATAAACATAAGCAATCAACTCCCAGACAATCACCTATAATTATGAATTCACCTCCAAAACTGAGTACTTTAGATCAGATTCTGTCGAATAAAACGAATTTACCTGGACCATCAAATGTTGGCAAAACATATTTTTCGCCACAAGATTTACGTTCTAATCCAAAAGCAGAGAAACGAGTGGGAACTAGAAAAGGGCGCAAACGTGGTCGAACGGCGATTTGGACTGACACACATAACAAAGAACAATTGGAGGAGGAATACAGAAAAAAACAATAAAAGGAATTGAAGAGGATGAAGCAGACACTTATTGTCTAGTATGTGGAGAACCGTACTTCAATTCACGTTCAAGAGAAATATGGATCCAATGTACTAGGTGCCGGTACTGGGCTCACGAAGCATGCACTGACAACAACCCGTTTTTTGTATGTCAGAATTGCGATTCTGATGATGATTTGTGAACTTGTGAAGCATGTCACAATTAACCCCAGCAGTGTCACAAGCAACCCCAAGTTGGGGTTAGTTGTGACAGTTGAACCTACTTACATTATTCATTAATAGCGTTGTTTATATTACTCTTAAGTTTATTGTTTTTGTGTTTTTATGTTTGAGAAACATCATAAAATAAATGGTAATTAAAGAAAAACATGTAACTTAATTTACAAGAAGCCATCTTCTCTGTTTATTTTTCACTAGTTCGTAGCAAACTGGAGTATTGCAGTTGTGTTTGGAATACTAACCATTTAAAGTACATAAGTGCATTAGAATCTGTCCAAAGAAAATTTTTAAATTTATTTACTTTAAAAAACATTCGTCACTATTCGTCACTATGATTATAATTTATTGTTAGAAGAATTCAGTTTTGTGAGTCTGAGGAAAAGAAGAGAAATAGCAGATTTGATATTCATCTATAAATTAATTAATAATTCTATAGATTCATCTTCTCTGCTGTCTCAATTTAATGTTCATATCCCACGTATTATATCAAGGTCAAATATAACATTTCATATTCAAGTGCCAAATTCACAACATCACTTTCACAGTCCTTTAACTACAATGTGTAGAAGTGTCAATCAGTATTCTGTTGATATATTTTTTCTAAAATTTTACCAATTTAGAGAGCAATGTTACAGATTGGTATCAAATTAGGTAATTAGAATGTAATTTAGTTAAGTAAGTATTCTCAAACTTTGTATTTTTAAATATTATATTATATACCTGTAATTGGGCTGATAAAGCCTGTTGGATGTATTAATAAATAAATAAATAAATAAATAAATAAATACATTGTGGAACTTAAATAAAAATAATTTTAATTTTCCTTTATTATTAAGATAAAACATTTTAGAAGCATTAATATTTACAGTATGTTTATTTACTGATTTTTGGAAAACTGTAGTCACTACAAATGGTTCATCTATTATATCATTTGGATAAAAACTTTTTGCTAATTTAGGGTTAATGAATGATTTTGAGGATCCCGTGTCCACCAATATTTTTAAATTATGTCCAGGGAAAATAATATAGGGTAATTCACTTAAATCCACACAATTTATTGAAATGTGTTCGGGATTTTGTTGCGAGTTATTTTGTTCCGATGCCTTTACCGAAAATTTGGAGTTTGACCTTTATTATCATTAACTTCTTCAGAATTATTATATTAATTTTTAGGGTTTTCAAATATATAATTATATATAGGTTCTGTTTAAGAGTTAAATAACTCTTCGTAGGTAAAGTTTTGTGACTGACGCGCCGAATTTCTAAAATAATTTGGGGAGCCTGGTTTCGAATAATTTTGTCCAGTATTCCTAGTTGATACTGATATAAGTGTAGGGTTTGGTAAATTTGTTTTTTGATTTGGTTTAAATATATTTGTATTCTTATTTTGATAATTCTGTCCACAAACTTGGGCATTAGTTGGGTAATTACGTTGTATGGGTCTTGAATTTACATTAAAAGGTTAAGACGGAAAATTGTTTCTTTGTTTGTAGAAAAAATCATTAGGTGTATTAAAATTATTTGAAACATTTCTATTTTGATTCGGTGGAACATAGTTATTGTTATTATATTGGAAATTTAATCTTTGAGTGGGATTAGGTCTTGAAAAATTGTATTTTGTACTGGTAAATTTCGAGAAGAATTTTGATTTTGAAAATTGTGAGAAATATTTTGCAAATAATAAGCATTCTCTTCTTCCGAAACAAATTGCAAAGCCTCACTAAGTGTGGTTCGCTTCATGCATTTTATTTTTGTCCCTAAGGGCTCTTTTAATCCTGACAAAAATGTTTGATATATTTAACTGATCAAAAGCAATATTATTCATTATAAAATATTACGTTACAATAATAGTCCCATAATGGGATTGTTTAGGAGTAATCAAATTGATAACAAATTTGCTATTAATTAATGGAGTGCAGGTCAACGATATAAATCGAAGTTTATTTAATGGATTAATATTGGATTGCTGTTAATCCGAATCAGTCTCTTGCGCCTATAAACTGGAGATACGATCTTCCTATTGATACAGGGTATATGAATGATTCAACATTTATGTTACATGTTTATTGGCCCGAAATTTTCATTTTACCAAGTCCAAGATACGTTACTCCTATCAAATAAAGAATTAGTAAAATTTAATATTCTACAGAATTTTTTAAAATAATTATACAAATTAGTAAGTAACACCATAAATAAGTTACTTGGATCACGTGGACTTAAAATAGGGACTCATAAGTAACTAATTAATTATTCATTTAGAAGTCAATTTAATATTATGAACACGTTGATATTTAAATCTAACAAGTTAAGAGATATATATTATTATAGTGGTGACAGCGGTCATTATAGTAAGTGCAATCAGGGAAGACACAAAAGAAGTAGATAAGTCAGGATTGAGAAAGAAGTTACCAAAAAGCAGATCATTCAAAGCGCAGAAAAATATTTTTATTGTTATAAAATTTTTATCACTTTTTAGAGAACGAACCACTCCCAATTGGGATTTATGTATTGATATTTCTTTAAGATATTTACAAACAGTATTTGTTTCATAAGTTTAAAACTATTTTGAGAAAAAAACTGTTTTGGTATACATGTTTTGAGCTTTTTATCCGTTTTTTATGTAGGAGGTGTTCTCTTATAAAATGAAATCTATTCATCTACTAATAACCAGAACTTATTTTAACATTTATAAAGCCGGTAAATATCTCTGTTTTCATAATATATCTGACTGTTGATTATATTAAAAAAAATTTTTTTTTAAACATAACATAAGAAACAATTATAAATTGCTTACCAATTGTAGTTATCACAGTCAAAGAATAGAGAAAAGCACCAGCGAAACTCCACTGCGCAGATGAAGTTAAATCGTCAGTCCCATCATACCCTCTCCTTGTAAAGTTTACCACGATTTTCTGGTATAGTATTAATAATTCAGTAATGCTGTTATTAAAGTGTTCGCGTTCCATCACCTTAAAAAAAGAATAATAAAGATAACATATTAGCTGCAGAAACTTAATAAATATTATTTTAAGTAAATTACATATTGAAACTACACTTTTTAATTACAATTTTATATGGACCTGAAACTTATGCTGTAAAAAGACAAGAAAGTTACATAGCTCAATGTAACTATTGAGCAAACTGAAAAAAAGGAGCTTATAAGGAACTAATTATTGCTAAAATATAATATTCGTGAGGCTGACATCGATACGGTACAGTTCATGTCCAGTTGTAGATTAGAAATGAAGGGACATGTGGTGTGAGGTATGAAAAAGGATAAACTGAAGGATTTGACGACCGTATAAAACAATTTTATCAATGAATATACGTGTAAGCCCTTGTACACCCATAATAAACAACGTACAAAATGCAAGCCTGTTTCCACATCTAGTACAAAATACTTAATATTAACTAGGTTTTGGAATTTACTGAAAATTAATGCATCTATATTAGGTAAAATTTAATCAAATTTAGTTAAATATGATAAAAATGTTTGGGTTCACCTGCACTAAAATAGGTTGAAATAGGTAGGCACTTGGAACTATGCCAAATGTACTGGTTTAGATACCCCGAAAATGTGACCTATGCTCAAATTAATGTTTTGTTATGTTCTACAACTTCAATAAATGTTTTTAAATTTAGTGTTGGTTTAACTTATACTTAATACTTTTAATGCGCACGAGTACTTTTGTACTTTCAGCAGTATTGTACTTTAAATATTTTATTTCTTCCTAAAATTGATTTACGGGCTAAGGGTAGACTAAATAGCACCCCCATTACGGTATTTACATTTAAATTATCTATAATGCTATCAGTGCTATAACGTTTTTCGCTTAAGTGCGTACAATTTCCCCAATACCTTAAACGAATGAACGATAATCTCATTCACATTTAAAATCTGAGAAAATGAAGTTCCCAGAAAGATAGCAATAACAACCAATTAAAATACGACTAATTAAGGAATGAACAAATAAGACACAAAAAATAATAATCAATATTATAAAAACTGGAGAATAAAAACCTGAATTGATTTGGTTAAAAATGGACTAAAAAGTTTTGAAAAAAAAAATGAATGTGTATCAATGACATGTCTTTATCAATCATAGCCTACTTTGAAAACATTTGTGTGGGTCACTCAATTTTAGTTGTCGTTGAATGAAAGTAACTCATTTTAACTTCAAATTCTATGTTAGAAACTATGACTGAATGTGTAAGAATTTTCAACTCACCCTTTGATTTAAATCAAATGTTATGTTCCACAACTTTTCAGCGAATATTGTTCTATTATTGAGAACTTCTTCTTTGAGCTTCAACTTGTGTTTTCCTTCAATAGTCATGAAGATGAAAGATCCTGCTATAGTATATCCTCCCTAAAAAAAAATTAAACAACATATATAAAAAAGTATATAAAAACAAGTATATAAAAAACAAGTATATAAAAAAAGTATATAAAAATGTTTCTCTTTCTGTTTTAGTAGTAGCAATAAAAAGAATGTATTTTTACAATAAAACGTAAATCTATATTATCACGTATTAAACTAGAGATTATTTATTCATCTAAATTAAGACAGAATGTTATTAAAAAATTGTGTTGGATTTTATTCATTATAAATTGCAAAACTTAAAGCTTCCAAAAATACCAGTACAGGATTTATTCTATTTAAGACAATTAACAGTAAGCGTTTTTTGCATCCACAACATGAAGACTGACCAAGTTGTTTACTTCATTTATCATGAAGGTTGTGGCAAGAAAGGCCCTAATGAAGTATGTTCCTTCCTTTACCAGTATATAAAAGAATATATACCTGAGTGTGACAGATTTGATGATATTTAGCAATACTTTCCCATTCGAGGACACTCGTTTCTGCCTTGCGATAGAGACTTTGGTAACATTAAAAGAAAGTTAAAAAAAGTCGATCGTGTCTATAGAAATTATAGCATCTTCCAGCAACAAACATAATTTTCTAATCCATCTTGTGGATGGAAAGGATATAGTGAATTTTAAAGACTGGTGGCCTGGACTTTATAAAAAAAACAGGTATTTCTATTGAAACTTCTCAAAGAGGTACGCCAAGAGATAGAAAAGTTGCGTTTAACATCAGCAACTTTCATCAGTTTTCCTTCTGCAAGAATAATGGGAAAGGTGTAGTACTTGCCAAAGACTACATTATTGGATTCGAGAAACATGCATTTTGTCTAGGACTTTCCAATATTGTAGCTGAACCTAAAGTATATTGTTACCTAATAGGAAAACTTCCCATAAAATCAGATAAAATGGATCACATAAAGAAATCGGCTAAATATGTGAACGACGTTGAAGGAACAAAATAATTTTGAGATAATATTTTTAGTTGGCCTATTATAAATTAAAAATCTGTGTTTTGTTAATCCAATTTTTTCTTACAGTCTGTCTTAATAAAGTGTTTTTCGTCAATTACTCCCTCTTTCTTTTTGATTCTTCCAATTGATAACAGAAAGGGTATATTATGTTATTCAACTTAAAAGGTCTATAACTTTTTACTGCTTAAAACAAATATTTTCAATTACCCCTAAAAGGGATAGTGTTTTGATATAGTTTTTACATGTACATTCAGATTTTTTTATAAATTATGCTCCAGTTCGAAAAACAGTTATTTGCATTTATCTCAGAAGTTAAGTTTAGTGAAATATATCCTTTCTGCAATCAGCGATTCAATTGTTATTAAAAAGATTGGGAAACGCTGCTTAGAGCAATGGCAGATCAATAGAGAATATCTTACCTATAGAAAAATGTATAAAATTCCGTACTAGTGGAATATTACTTACCACTAATAAAATAATGCCGACGTTGCTGAACAAAAAAGCAATAAATTGCCTGAGAAATTCTTTGCATTTTTTCAGCCAGGGTCGTGTGTTTTTCCTCTGTCTTCTAACAGATTTTCTCCTTTCCATCTTAGGATGCCAGCCAACAAGCTCTTGGCTTTTGCCTCATTTTCGAGGCCATCACGTCTCCGATCTGAGTTTAACCAGACTCATAGTTCGTATCTGAAATTAAGAATCGCAAATAAATCACACTGAACTAAAGAAAAGAATAATAAAACTGTAAATAAAATTACTTATGGTTTTCCAAAGAATAGGAGTATTTGATAATAATTGTATAACATTTAACATTAAAAGTGCATGAATTCGTCAAGAAAATATACTATTTCTTAATCAAATCTTAAATGCAGACAAAATTTTAAATAAACACAGGGTAATACTATCAATATATTGATTTATTAAATTAATATTTTCAAAGTAATTAATCCAAAAAAAACATTATGTAAATAAATATTGTTTAATCTACTCGAGTATGTATTTTGAGTTGCGATCACGTATAAAGTTAAATAATTGTTAATTATAAACAGTAAAATAACAATAAATTGGCGAATCGGACCACAGCTTGGTCACGAAGGCTGAGAAACTCTTTGATGTTTTGAATCGCGGTTTTAACGTTTAGCCAAGGGTTGTAACATGTGTCCCAGATATTGGAGTTGGTAAGTACATTGGTTTGTATAGATATTATATAGTTTTGGCCCATGTTTGTGTACATCGGTTTTGCGATCTATTTTGTATCCTTGTTTCTAAATAGGACATTATATTTGTTTTGAAAACAGTGTGTTTCCTTCAGTCCTTTTACAAAGACGTGTTAGGTTCTTATACCAAGAATAAAACTCTTATACAGTTAAAGGCTACGAAGCCAAGTCATAGTATTTTAGTGCTTATACTATTTAGATCCTTATGAAGATGTTTATCGTTTAACCCTCTGGGAAACAGCTAGTCCTATAATTATTATAAGACCCCTATAACGTAACAATATGCTCCATTATACCAGTCTATGAATACGACTAGTAGAGGAGACCCAGGGAGATCGGCTTTCACTCATGTGATAACCAGATGAGACATATTTTTTACGAAATTTTATTACCACACCTAGGGGAACTTGCCATTCGAATAGTGTTCATGGCTATTTTTAATTAAATACATTTTAATATATTTTTTTATAACCTTTACTTTTCTGATGACCGAACACATTTAATTTTAACAGATAGTTTTCAACATGGAGAATATGCCTCGATAGGCTTGTTTAATTATTTCTGTTCATGGCTACCTGGCAAGCTGGTATGAACAGGTAAGTCAATATAGGTGTAATTACACCGATATATTAACCAATAAAAATTGATAGCAATTAAATATGTACGAGAAAGAAAGTAAAACGTGCGAAGTCAGTGTGATAAAACAGGACACAACATACCAGCTGCGCGTGACATGTCCATTGATTGTAAAAATATATAATTTGCGGTCCTATTAATCTACTGCGCAGAATCCTGGTGTCAGTGACTGGTTTTTGATCGTTGATCTAGTGCTTATTTTTTGTTGAAAATTATTTTGTGACAACACAAGCTGAGAATTATTTGCAATTGAAAAATAAAAAAAAAGTAAAACATGAATAAAAAGTGTTTTTATGTGGTTCAACAAAATCTCTTTTTGACTTTGATGATAATTCATTTTGAATATGTTCTTTAAAATTGACTTTCTGTAAGTATCCAGCTAACCAAAGAATCGCTAGATTTTGTTGATTATCACTTCCGGTGTTATAATAAAGTTACAGTAGTTTTAAGTAATAAATATAAAGTAAAATTCGAAAATTTTGCAAAAAATCATGAAGTTAGTAAAAATTTTTGTTTAAATCAAAATCTTAAATTAGCAACCTTTGTGTGAATTTTTTTTTAAATATTAAAATATTTTATATAAAGAAAAAAAATTTTACGTTGACTTTAAAATATTTTACGTTTGTAAACATAATTTTTTATCATCATTATATTGATTATTAAAAATAAAAAAAAATTATTTTGTTGGTAAATTTGTATAAAATTGCGTCCTGAAAACTGGGGTTGGCTTTTAGAAAATAATTATTTAAAATCGATTGGATTTGTTGAAGAACAAACACCTTTGAAGATAAATGACATCGTGTAAATGACGGAAAATGTATAATTATCAGAGAGACTGAAAATCTTAATGTAGCTTTAGATGATTCAGATTGTGAATAATAATTACGAATTTTATAATATTATTTTTCTATGTATTCTATTTGCTTTGTAATACTTTTGATACCATAAATGTATTGAATTTTATTTTTCTAGATTTATTTTTTTCCGTTATTTTTTTACTTAACTTTTAGATACACAAAAATAGTTTTTCAAATATGTATTTTTTTATTTATTAAATTATTTAATTATTTATTTTTTATGATTATTATATACCTGTAAGTATAGGTATTTTATAGTAATATAATAATTATAATCGAAATAAAGTTTATTGTCAGATGCTCCAAAATAATTTTCAACAACAAATAAGCACTGTCTCTATCTATCACTTGTAAAAGAGCATGCGCATTGGGTTTACATTCAACGAACAAGTCGCGCGCAGCTGCTATGTTGTGTCTTGTTCTATCACACGGACTTCGCACGTTTTACTTGCTCTTTCGCACATATTTAATTGCTCCGATTTCAAAACTTTAAAATATGGCATTAGTATTCCATGAACAGTTTTTTGCAGGCAAGTCTATACGATTATTTTCACAATTTCTATTGATTGACATATCGGTGTAGTTACCCATATTGACTTACCTGTTCATACTTGCTTACCAGGTAGCCATGAACAGAAATAAGTACACAAGCCTACCGAGGTATATACTCCATGTCAAAAACTATTTATTAAAATTAAATTTGTTCGGTTATCAGGAAAGTGAAGGTTACAAAACAATTGTTTAAAATTTATTTAATTAAAAATAGCCATAAACACTTTTCGAATAGTAAGTTCCCATAGGCGTGTTAATAATTCAATAAAATGTCATAAAAAATATGTCTCATCTGGTTATCAGATGGGTGAAGGTCGATCTCCCACGGTCTCTTAGACTAGACCTTCATTACAATTCTGAACAACTACTTCTGACATAGAAGTACAAGAGTTGTAATGCGTGTTTGTAATTGAATAGTTCTACATCGACCAACTCTTGATTTGGCATTTAGGGCTTCGTTCTATTTGATTCTATTCAGATAGTGCATATTTCCGCTAGCTTCACTCAAGTGTAGAAGTGATAAAACGTTTTCATATAGTGTGAATAATTTGCCTTTTTTCAAGACCCTTAAATAGGATGACACTGATTGTAGAAGGAGAAGCTTCTTAACGTCTAAATGACACCAACATGCATGACAACTCTTGTAACCCATATTGTGGATTGATTGTTCATCATGGAAAGAACATTGAAACTTTATCACCGCCAATATCATTCCATTGATTACATAGTTGTTAATTATAAAATTAAAGTATTTGTCCAAAAGCAGCTTTGAATTGGTCGCATAGGTACCGTTATTAAAACCATCTTATCTTTTAAATAGTAAACATAATCGACTACCTCAATTTTCAAGTAAATTGGCCAAGTATTAATAGAGATCTGAGCAATTTTGTGATAGATTAACAACCATCTTTGACGACTGTCTACTATCTAAGAAATATACCAAAAATATTTATACTCGATCTTTCCTACAGAACCTATACCTATATCCTGGATTATGTACTATAAAAAAAATCTGATTTGTCCAACACATGACTCTCCTATCTAGTTATTATTGGCTTCTTCCGGTTATTTTGTACAATCTATTGCAGCACCTCTGTAAATGTTTAGGGGATAAACTAAATATATACATTTTCCACATACATCTAACTCGAAACATTTTTCTAAAGATATTCATTAAAAACGAAAATACTGAAAAATTTAAATTTAACACTTTTCCTCCACTTTTCCATTACGGTCCTTTTTAGAAAAATCATGTAAAAAAAATTATAGAGATCGATATCGCAAACAACTTTTAGTTTAACAATTTTCCTAAAAATTAGAATTTTGTACATTTTATCAAATTTCTCGAATACGGACCATTTCAGGAAAATTTGATGTAAAACAAAAAATATAGATAATAATATTTGAAGTAACTTTTATTTAAACAATTTTCTTTTCCAAATATAAATAACAGATATATTCCATAAAATATAAAAACGGCCTCCCATAAAGTATCCCCCCGCCCAGATTTTCCGACTTTGTCCAAAATCTAATCATTTCACGTCAGGCCGAAATAAAACTTAAGTTTAAAATTTAATGTTTTTTCCTTTATCCATTTTTGAGTTTTCTTCAAAATTCGAAATTTACACCTCGAATACGGTCCATTTTAGAGAAATTATGTATAGCATAAAAATTATAGAGAATTATATTATAGTATTTATGTCTTCCCAATTTTTTAAATTATTATCAGCATTAGCAGCCGTTCTTAAACTAGACAAAAATTGCTGAATATTAACGGGGAGGAATAATCTATAAACAAAACGCAAACCAGCATGTAAATTAATCATTAGTAAACCCGAATGATTTAGATGAATGTCAAAAATCTTCAGATATTCGGGTACATAATTATTTGAGACTAAAAAATATTTGCTCTGCATACTGCCGATAGTTTTCTTACATTTACTTGTGCGTTACAAATTATACAACCACGAACTGAGTGGGGTGTTAAAACATTAAGTCTTAGGCAATTTGAATCATTTTCAATATTTCTAAGTTCCTGTGTAATTGCGTGATAACAGTTTAAACATAATCTTACTTCTTGTAGATTATCGACCGCAGGATTTCCGGCAGCTTATCTTCTAAAATTAGCAATGTTAAGCACATCTATATTATTGTCCTCGTCTAAACGAATAGTGAGTCGAAGTTGAAAGTTGCAAACATAACAGCTAATCCTATTTGAAAACGCCATATTTGCAACAATATTTATTTAAAACACTAATACAGAACGTTTTCATGCTCGCTTAAAGTAATACAAACGTCATTTATTATAAAAGTCAACAATATGTTCAATTATTTGGAAAATATTTAATCATAGCCTTCTAGATCAATATATATAAATCAAGTGTAAGCAAGTTTATATATCCTATAAGGTTGTTGGCATATTCACTA